ATTTTCTAGCCCCTAGTGAATCAAAGGGTCTCGGCATTGGGCATCACTACCTGCTAACATCAAAACAGCAAAGCAAAACTAGACTTATGTGCCTACAAAGACCTAAAGCCTTGTCAACAGGATCAAACACAAACCTCATCAAGCAATCATCCGGATCTGGTTGCCAATCCGCAGGAAATGCAGAGAAGAGAGAAACATGGTCAACTGCACCTTATGTGTGACATCAGCAAAGCTCAAACCAATGGAAATTCTCTAGGTCCAATAAGCCAGGTTCTTTTAAGTTTATTTATTTTAGGGAGAGAGAGAAAATGTAAATGGGGGAGGGACACAGAGAGAGAAGGAGAGAGAATCCCAAACAGGCTCTCAACTGTTAACGCAGAGTCTGATGTGGGGCTCAAAACACATGAACCCTGAGATCATGACCTGAGCCAAAGTCAGATGCTTAACCAACTGAGCCACACAGATGCCCCTGCCAGGTTCCTTTAACAGATACGTTGTAAGGAAAATAAAAAGATGGAAGGGAAACCTGTAAATGTAAAGTGATTTAAAAAGAGGGGGGAGAAAAAGAATTCAAAGCATTTGTATAAAGTCAGAAACACTAATAGGCAAAACTAAAGTGCCAAGATGATAAAACCATAAAGGAAGATAAGGAAGTTATCACTTTAATTTTGGATGGAGGGAGAGGACTGTAACTGGAGTGGGCTACATAAAGGGGGTTCTGGGATGGTTGGTAAAGTTGTCCTTAGACGATGGTCCCAAGGGCATTTGCCTTCTACTAACTCACTAAGCTATAAGAAATGAACTAAGCACCTTGAGTCTGGTGCCTTAGACCACTCAGCCATCCTGACACCCTATAAGAAATGAATCAAAAAGTTGTTGCAGGAACGCACATTATTGGGGCAAGCAGGGAAACGTGAATATGGACTGCACAGTCAGGGAATATTTATGTACATATTTATGTACCTCTCCTCAGTGTGATAATGATACTACAATTATATTAGTGAATGCTCATGTTCTTTGGAAATACATGCTGAATCAGGTATGAGTGGCAAGTGCAATGATACCGACAACTAACTCTCAAATAGTTCAGAAAAAGAAAACACAGGCATGTGTGAGTGCCTATACACGTGCAAGGTAAAAGGCAAAGCAAATGTAGCAAAATGCTAATTGCTGAATCTAAGTGAAGGGTAGAGTCACTGTATACTATTTCTGCAAGTGTTTTGAAATTTTTTAACTAAAAATTGGAGAATAAAGCAAAACACACACACACACACACACACACACACACACAACAGAGTGAAGAACTATTTTAAAGCTACCACAATGCAACCACTTTGTCAGACTACTTAGTATCAAACTGATGTGCAGACCCTATGAACCAAGAAAACTCTTAATAAACCATGACACATGTATAAAAATGCTCACAGCTGTTTGTGCACTGAAAGCCACCAAACCAGTCATCAACATGGGTATTTTCCCCCAAAGGAATATTCTACAGCAGTGAAAATGAATAAACTATAGCTTTATACAGCTCATATTAAGGGGACAAAACAAGTTACAAAAGAGTACATATAGTTAAGACTCCATCTAGATAAACTATTTATACTTATTTGTATATGTATTTGATATCTTTATTTATGTTTTAAAGGTAAAAAACAGACAAGCTCAATTACAACATTATATGAAAAACAGGGAAAGAAAAACAAAATTCTAGAGAGTAGTTCCCTCCGGGGAGACAGGGCAGGACAGGGAGGGCATGGGGAACTCGGAAGACATGGGCAACTTCCTATCTTTTAAAAGGTGGATGGATAGGGGCGCGTGGGTGGCTCAGTCGGTTAAGCGTCCGACTTCGGCTCAGGTCATGATCACATGGCTCGTGGGTTCGAGAGTCGCGTCGGGCTCTGTGCTGACAGCTAGCTCAGAGCCTGGAGCCTGCTTCAGATTCTGTATCTCCCTCTCTCTGACCCTCCCGTTCATGCTGTTTCTCTCTCTCTCTCTCTCTCAGAAATAAGTAAAAAATATTTTTTTTAAAAAAGGTGGATGGATAGTTGGTATATATGTAGTCATTATACGGTTGGATTTTAAACTCTGTGCACGTGTCTGTCAACAGTTTATTTATTTTTCCAAACATTTTTTAAGGTAATCTCTATACCCAATATGGGGCTCAAACTCACCACCCCAAGATCAAGAGTTGCATGCTTAAATGAGCCAGCCAGGTGCCCCTATAAACAGAGTTTAAAGTCCAACAGATATTTTCTATCTCAAAACAAAACAAAACAAACCACCCTAGACCACACTAGGATGACCCATCGTTTCTGCACATTCTGACAGAGTTTATTTTAGCTGAAGCAGATAAATTTCTCTTAACTGACCAAAGACCATGACAAAACTGAACGACCATTTCATCTAATCTTTACTGGTCAAAGACTCAGAGCAAACATTTAGTATTAATTCCTAAAAGGCAAAAGGGATGTACAGAGCAGAAAAATACCACAGACTTATTTAGGGCCTTTGAGAGTACCACAGCTCCACAGCAAATAACATAATGGGGAAGTGAGCCATCATTCACACCACTAAAGATTGCAGGGCCCTGTTTTAAACACCATGTCCACAAATTCCCTTGACGATTAAGAATCACAAACATGTACATTTGTGAGATCACTACGGTGCTAACTATGAACAGCCACGCGCAAGACTGCATCTAACCGAGACTGCTAATTTCAAGCCTGACTTGAAAACCAATTTCCAAATGAGCTGAGGAATAAACAAACAAAAAACTTGATTGTGAAGTGTCCCCCAAGTCCCTTCAAAGAGACAGGGCCTGAGCCCCATAGGATTCCTCTTCCAGGGTAGCTTACATCTTTGCTCTCAGTAATAAAACAAAAACGACTGAAAGCCACGAAATCCAAGAAGAAGGGGGAAGAGCAATCAATAAAAAAACAATGGCATTTCACTATCAAATAGTTCCTGAAATCTAAGTGTATCAAATTTTGATTAGAGCCTTCTGCTGTTCTTCATTTAACACTTGTGCTAAATGTTTAAGTACTCAACATTAATTTTATTACCTTCTACTGAGACCAGACAACCATCAGGAAAATTATGCTTTCAGAGTAAACAATTGCAAGAACATTACATTCTCAAGGACTCTGAAGAAGGTAAGGGCACAGAAGACCAGAGGAAAACACGCAGACCAACCATGAGCTAATGAGACATCTTTACTGTCTCACTCCCCACAGACTCGCATATAAATGTGAGTAGTTTTAACATCTAACGTTTTCAAACTACCATAAAATGCTGGCCTTGTGTAACTTGCATTCCAGCCACAGTCCCGTTGTTTCTGTCCTGGGCTGAAATCTCAGAGCAGAAAAAAGCTCTTTCTAAGCCAGAGGCTCTGTGGGGATCCCCTCCTTGGCTTTCGTGTGCAGTGGGTCTGGGCTGCCGACGGACACCGCAGTGAGCATTCAGAGGTGCCCAGGAGACACCTCCCCAACTGGCTTCGGTGCATGTGTATCTGTGCTAACACCGAAGTGACCACTTGCAACTGAGGATGAGTTTCATTTTCCGCGTTTCTTTCTAGGGTCGTGTATAGCTTACTTGACATTCGATTTCCTTTCCCATATAAAACTCAGTATGGACTTAAGGAATTCTTTAAACAGGAAAGCAAGCTTCCAAAAAAAATGTCAGAGGAATGAAAGCAAAGCTAAGAGTGTTTATTCTTTAAAGGGAGTTGCCAAAGGGCACTTGATATTCATACAGAACTTCCTAGCCAAAGGTAGCTTAAACAGGCTTCACAGAGACTAATTCCTTTATTTTATTTTTTTTTAAACATTTTATTTATTTCTGAGAGAGAGAGACCACGTGAGAAGGGGAAGGTCAGAGAGAGAGCAAGACACAGAATCTGAAACAGGCTCCAGGCTCTGAGCTAGGTGTCAGCACAGAGCCTGACACAGGGCTCGAACCCACGAACTGTGAGATCATGACCTGAGCCGAAGTCGGCCGCCCAACCGACTGAGCCACCCAGGCGCCCCTAGAGACTAATTCCTTTAGATACCACCAATAAAAAAAATGAGTCTTAACATTTCATTGGAGGATGATTTATGTAAACAACGACAAGGGCTTATAATTTATTCTATAATGTTATATCCAAGTTCCAGTTCAAAATTCTGGATTTCAATTTTGAGATGGTTCTTCATATTTTCAGAGTATTTTTTTGATTTGAGATGAGAGAAATCAAAAAGAACATTCTTCAATCTATAATGTAGAAGTTATGTTAATGTAAGAACCCGAATTCTTCCTTATTGTGCAATGTGCAATGCCTCCTTGGAGGAAACATGATGCCTTGTTCTATGCCCGTTCTTTATTATCAGAGGGAAGAATGTTACAGCAAACATGGGCAACATTCAGGAAGAGATGAAAGATGACACCTTCTTACAATAACACAACCTCCTTCCTCTTCCGCTTATCCACCCACGAGTCAGCACAGAGAATACGGTCTGTAGCTGGAGGCTGATCCCCACCACACCGCAGCTCAGGCCTTTAACTGGGCCAACAGGGCGAGGGGCAGAAGGGATACAGTCCTGCTCAAGGAAGGGAGGGAGCCTCTAACAAGTGAACCAGCCAGAGGAGGAGCCTTGCTTGCTTGGTTGTTTTTTGCCTAGGAGCACAGCATGTTCCCTCTGAATCCAGTTTTGATAAAACTTTCAGATAATACACTATACTTTGAGCACATTATAAATATGATAGAGTGGAAATTATGATCTAAGACGGCAGTGGAATGCATTTTATGGTCCCCCTTATTCAGCCCTGCTGATGATAACCGAATGCACAGAGGTTCTATTGCTTCTCCAGCAAAGGCCACCAAAAGAGAATCTGAGCTAGAAGCGAAATGAAAACAAACAGAAAAAGCAAGATCAGGCAACATGGTTATCAAGAATTTTACAAAGCCCTAGAGAAAACATATATTACACCCAAAGAAAGATAATGAAAAAGGTCTTTCTCACCTTTTGAAAGTTCTCCTTCCACAAATCTTCTACGACTATGTATCCTCGTAAACCCCAGTCATATAATTTCTCCCCACTGACCTTGAAACAAAACATAAAAGATCCATTGCTATTCCATACATGACTGGTAAGAATGAGAATATTCCATTTAACTTTTTCCTGTTTCCCAAAGAACTATATTTAAGCATATGATGACCCCAGAAATCTTTGGACATACATATTAAAACCGTGCAACAGAAGCAAATAAAACGAGTAAGAATCCTAGCATAAGAAGAAAACAGAGTTTGGTTGTGCACTTATTGTTTCAAATAATTTACATACAGTACAGGTGTATAAGGACAAAAATGTAGGAGGTCAGCTGCCGGTATGTGAAATTCCTCAAAGTGAGGCACAGAGAGAAGGCTTCTGCCCATCACACCCAGCACATCATGGACAACTAAGTCTTCAAGTTTCTGCAAGGATTTTTGCCTCCTGATCCAAGATCCTTTCTACAACATCCTAAGAGGTAGGCCCCAGGGTCAGAGAATACTTTGGGGCCATGGAGCTCACTACTTAATATGATATCGTAATAGCATTGCATGGTGACAGATGGTAGCTACACTTGTGGTGAGCACTTCATCATGTATAAACTTGTAGAATCACTATGGTGTACATCTGCAACTAATGTAACATTGGGTGGCAACTATACTCAAATAAAAAAAATTTTAATGAAAAAATGCACTGGTCCACCTTTCACTAGCTGAAATCTAAGGATATCAACTGGATATGGTTTTTTTAGTATTGAGTTGTCCTTTTTTAAAAGTTTTTAAATATTTCTTTTCAGAGCGAGCAAGAGCAAGCGTGAGTGAGCAGGGGAGGTGCAGAGAGATGGAGAGAGAGAGAGAGAGAATCTCAAGCAGGCATGTACTGTCAGCGTGGAATTCAATGTGGGGCTCAAGCTCACAAACCGTGAGATCATGACCTGAGCCGAAATCAAGAGTTGGACACTCAAATGACAGAGCCACTCAGGTGCCCCTAGTACTGAGTTTTCTTTTTTTTTTTTTAATGTTCTTATTTATTTTTCAGAGACAGAGACAGAGCGTGAGCAGGGGAGGGGCAGAGAGAAAGGGGGAGACACAGAACCTGGAGCAGGCTCCAGTCTCTGAGCTCTGAGCACAGAGCCCAACATGGGGATCAAGCCCATGAACTGTGAGATCATGACCTGAGCCAAAGTCAGCTGCTTAACTGACTAAGCTATCCAGGCACCCTTAGTATTGAGTTTTCTTTAAAAAATGCTTCTAGTGGGGCACCTGGCTGGCTCAGTCAGTAGACGGTATGACTCTTGATCTCAGGGTTGTGATTTTGAGCCCTATGTTGGGTGTGGAGCCTAATTTAAAAATACGCTTCTAGGAATTTGCATTCATTGGTCCTATACATGACACACGAGGTTGATTACTATTACACATGAAATTTCCACTTCAAATTCCTGAAAACAGTTATTATTCTCTTTCTGTTATAATAATTGATCTATGTATAGCATTTTAGTTTATAAAGTACTTTCACATGAATTATCTCTATTCTAAACAATAACCCTGCAGTAAACAGGCAAAGATTATAAGGAAATATTCAGAGACCAAGTGACTGGTCTAACTAAGGTCACAGTGCTAGTAAATCCAGTGGTTTTACTAGCTAGCTTCCTACAAGTTACAGTCTTCCAGTTCTTCTAACTGTTCTTAAATTATATGATACTCAGACCCATCGAGCATTTACCATGTAAATGGCACTATTTTGGGGGTTTTAAATTTCTGAGAGGAAAACAAGATTTGCCACTTAAAAAGGTTTCTTATAGTAATTGTACCCAAACTCTACTGAACAAAAAAACAATGTGAGCAATTAAGTGGCTGGTCCAAGGTCAGGGTATTCGTACAAAAAATGAAACCGAAAGCAGAATTAAATGACACTAAAACAGTAACAGAATATCTCTTTCAATCATCGGTGTCTCTCTTGTTTTACCGTAGCCAGATATACGTACAATTTACCATTTTAACTGTTAAAAACCATCGTTATCCATTTCCAGAACTTTCTCATCACCTCAAACGGATCACTAATGTTTTATATCTAGTGAAAACAAAGTTAATAGTTTTGTTCTGGCTTACTCTAAGTACAAAAGAAAAGACAAAACTCCTTCCCACTGACTTTAAAAATAAATTAGAATACAACTCATATTTTCATTCCACGATCTTGGTTGTGAATACAAAAGATCTTTTGCAACATATGCTGTGGCACCTAAGATTTTTATCATAAGACCTCTAGTCAGGGGGAAGCCACATAAGCTTCTCAACCAGCAGCCAGGCCCACTCTCCAGACCCTATCCATTTACTGTCAAAACCACAACACAGTGGATGATGTATGCTTATTTTTATGACCCAGGGCAGGCAGACATGATTCACTATTCCTGAGCTGAAGCTGAAGCAGGCAGAGGGACATTAACTGTCTGCCTCCAGGACTGCTATAAACAATGTCAAGTCCATGCTATAAAGATCTTACTGGGGGCGCCTGGGTGGCTCGGTCGGTTGAGCGTCCAACTTTGGCTGAGGTCATGACCTCGCAGTTCATGAGTTCAAGCCCCACACTGGGCTCGCTGCTATCAGCACAGAGCATGCTTTGGATCCTCTGTTCCCCTCTCTCAGTCCCTCCCCCACTTGCAGTCTCTCAAAAATAAATAAAACATTAAAAAAAAAGATCTTACTGGCAACTGCTACCAAAGCCACCAATTTCTCATAGCCAGAGGCACTGGCCTCTCACCTACAACTGTAACACAATCCAGAAAGCCAGACTCAGTCCCGTCATGAGGACTCTGGGAGCTCAATGTCAGATCAGTCTGGCTCAGAGACCCAAGAACCCAACTGTGATGACAGTACTGCTTCTCCTCCTGGGACCAAGTCTCCACATGACAGCAATTGGGTCCCCATCTCCATATACTGTCCGGGACTTGAAAACCTACAGCCAGCCTTGTTCTTTCTAGTTTTCCAAGGGACTCTATGTCTAGACTTCCACTAGGCCCAGACACCACCACCCTGAGGAAGTCCAGTCTACATCAGTGGTTCTCAAACATCCCGGACATTCAAATACCCTGGAGGACTTGCGAAAACACAGGTTGCTGGCCCTAACCCTCAGAGTGTCTGAGACAGTCTGTCAGGGTTGGGGTCGCAGAATGTGTGTTTCTTTTTTTTTTTTTAAGTTTATTTTTGAGAGAGAGAGAGAGAAAGAGAGAACAAGTGGTGAAGGTGCAGCGAGAGGAGACTGAGGATCTGAAGCAGGTACCACACTGATAGCAGAGAGCCCAATGCGGAGCTTGAACTCACAAACCACGAGATCATGACCTGAGCCAAAGCTGGAAGCTTAACTGACTAAGCCACCCAGGCGCCCCGGGAATGGGTGTTTCTAACAAGACAGGTGATCCTGATGCTGCTGGTCTAGGAATCATAGTGAACGACTAGCTGTTATAGACTGAGCTGTGTCCCTAAAAATTCACGCTGAAGTCCTAACCCACAGTGTGACTCTATCTGGAGACAGGGCCTGTAATTAAGGTTAAATGAGGTAGTAAGAGTAGGGCTCTAATGCAATATGAACGGTGTCATTATAAGACAGGGACGAGACACCAGGGATGTCCATGCACAGCGAACTGGTGGCCATCTGCAAGCCAAGGAGAGAGGATCTAGGAGAAACCAATCCTACCAACACCTTGATCTTGGATGTGCAGCCTCCAGAACAGTGAGAAAATAAATTTCTGTTGTTTAAGCCCCCCAGTCTCTGGCATTTTGTTACGGAACCTTGAGGAGACTAAAACATAGCTTTACCCATCTTGCCTCCCACTCTGTTCTTCTACTTGACAAGATGCCACCAAGCTGAGGCCTGAAGGGAAAGAAAGAAGCAGCCAACTGAGAGCCCCGGGAAGGACATTCCCAGCAGAGGGGACTGCACTGCTTGAAGCCCCCAGCAAGGCAAGGGAGGCAGCACCAGGACCAGGGCCAGTGTGCAGGGGGCCAGGGCACAGGCCTATGCCTGCAACTCCAAGGAGGAAAGGCTGTGACCAGACACATCCGAATGGAGAATGACCCATAACTATCAGCTTTGGAGTCGGAGTCTTTAGACTTCCGTTAAGTATGAGAAGAAAAGTCATCCTAATTTTCTTTGACTCATATTCAAATGAGTGTTTATTCTCTGAACACTGACATGAGTGGAAAGAGGGCCAGAACTGAGGCACATAGCGGAGAAAAACATTTAAATTGGTGGTACCTCCTCTATGTGCGCAAACAAATTTTAGGCTGGTGCTATAAAAGCTGCAAAATAAGAAAATTAAGCAGTAAAGCCAAACATACTTAAGCAAGAATAAGGGACACCCCAGCTTACTGGGTCTAACTTACCTGGACAAATACGATGGCTTGTTGTGGATAATAAAGAGAGGCAGCTAATCCGATGAACCCGGGTGGATACACCAGCTTCTTTATTTTTGAACCTATTAAACAAAAAGTTGTAGATACCACTGGATGATTCATTATCCTTACCATCACAATTTGCCCTGGACACCTAACACTGAATATGACTTCTTTTCTTTGGTCCTACACGAACAGAGAAAAGTGCTCCAAAATGTCATACATACCAGAAAGAACCACCACATTTTCACAGCTCTATTGAGACATAATTCACACAGCTCACCCATTTAAACTGTATATTCAGTGCCTTCTGATATATTCACAGAGGTGTGCAGCCGATCAGTACAATCAATTCTAGAATATTTTCATCACCCCAAAAAGAAACCCGATATCAATTAACAGTCACCCTCCGTATTCCCCCATTACCCCCACCCCTAGAGAACTACTAATGTACTTTCTGTCTCTAGATGTTTGCCTACTCTGGACATTTCACATAAATGCAGTTATAATATGTGGTCCTCTGTGACTGGCTTCTTTCATCTGTACAATGTTTTCAAGAGAACCACCACTTCCAAGAGAGCAGAAACAAAGACTGATCTGAAAAGCAGCACAGAGCACTTTGGTTTCTAAGGTTTATGTTCTTTCATAGTAAACTGGCTTCCTATTAAGTACCGAATACAAGCACTGCCCTCCTCTTCTTTCTGATGCTCCGTGAAAATAACAGTAAAAGAATAAAATACAGATAATAAACCCACAATGAAGAGGGAATGTGTGGAGACGCCACTGGGGGATAAGACATGTCATCTAATTTTCTGGAAATGGTGAGCGGAAGAGGACACACAGCTGTGAAGTCCTGAGGAGGGGCTGCAGTGAAGGGAGCACAGTGTCCCTGGCAGCCCAGAGACAGCAGGTCCTGTGAAGGATGGAGAAGTCAGCCAAGGATCAAGATGGGGGGTGGGGGCGGCGAGACGGGAGGATTTCAGACCAACACAAGTCCAAGTCTCGTGCACAGCCAAGGTACCTCTCTCCTTCCTCCATGCCATCTTAGTGCAAAACTGCCCGTGGCCAGTATAGCCAGGCAAAATTTCACAAAGATGGAAAAGTCTAAAGGAACGCCATGAGTTTTCTGCCGAGAACCAAGATGGCTGGTGTGTGTGCACGTGAATGTTTGAGCCCAAGAGGAGAGCCCTCTTCGCGTGGGCCCTGGGTGTAGGCACCCTCCACAGAGAGGCAGTTCCGTTTCGGCTCACCCTGAGGTGGAACTTGCTGGCCAGCAAGCCTCATCTATGCACAAAATGTTCTTAGTAACATTTCAGTCACCTTGCTCTTAAACATGACTGTACAACCAAGGATTACTAGTCATTTGAGGAAAGCCTGAAACATAAAAGAGGAGATCAAGACAAGCAAGAAGGGGCAAAAAATGACCTGGTAGGAAACAAAAGAACTTAAAAACAAAAACAAAGCCTGTTATTAAGTATCACTGAATGAATTTAATAAATTCAAGAAGCTACTCCATTAAAAGAAAAGAGTTCTATGAAAAAGGAACATTCAGAGAACAAGAAAGAGCTACTTGGAAATGATGAAAGTAAAAAAATCAAAAGGAATAAAATAAAATAATAAGATAATAAAAGAGATATTTAGGGACGTTTAAACAGCTCCACTGCTAATTAATACGAGTTCAGGAAGGAAAAAGAATAAGAATGAAGAGAAAGTAATTTTCAGACTTGCAAGGATTTGGAAAGTTTCCCTCCAATAAGGGCTTTTTTTTAAAGCGACTTGACCATGTAGTTCAACAACATGGCAAAGAAAACCAAAGAGAAGATGACATGGAACCCAAAAAAAGGGGGGTCGAACCCAAGAAAGCATGGAGCCATGTCCCGACCAGAGCCGTGTTGAGCCTCAGTCCAGACTGCGAGAGAATGTATGAGAGAGGACGCCAACTACCTCCACTTTGACCTCAGTATGCACCCTTTTTTTTTTTTTTTTTTTTTTAAGATTCTGTTTTTAAGTAATGTCTACACCCACCTTGGGGCCTGAACTACGATCCTCAAACTAAGAGTCACATGCTCCACCATCTGAGCCAGCCAGGTGCCCCTCGGTCTGCACTTTCTAATTGATTAAATTCCTCTTTCCTGCTTATCTTTTAATTCAGGCAAAAGACCCTGTGAGCAAAGCATCCCCTGATGGGAACAGAAACTACCCCCTCAAGCAATATGGGTCACTCTGAGCCAGCAAGACCTCACGTGACTGACCCCAAGACACTGACTTGACCCTCACTGACTACCTGCACTCATCCACTGACCCTTGCCCCACATTTCCCTTACATAAACCCAGAAGCATTTTCAGCACTTTGGAGATGGTCTCTGAGACACTGGTCTGCTACCTTCCCGGTGTCGGCATCATGTAAATAAATTCCTTTGTTTCACCACCGCTCATGTCTCTGCGTTTGGATTTTGTCAGTGGCGAGTGACTGAGTGTGGTGTGTTTAGGACCCCCGAAGACAGGGGTATGCGGAGAGCCCTGGGAAAAGGGGAAGGGGCAGAATAGAGAGCAGCATGCAGAACCGGGAGAAGCCTGAGAATGAGGTTAAGAAAACTGGAGAGTGGAGAGTGAAACCGGAGAATCCTCTAGAAGTGAACTTGGACCTAGGAAGCCTCTGCTGACAGGCACAGGGTTTTTGACATGGGACACGGCTAGATGCTAGCACATTGTACGTTACTGACACTTATACAGTAAGAACAATAAGTGGTGTTTATTGGTTTGAAACTTTAAACAGACATGTCTCCATAGATGGAACTAGGGTCATAGGAGTCAAAACAAATGTTATCTAGACTCAACGTTTCTCTCCCTGTCCCTACTGCTTGGATTGAAAGGCTATAATTACTCTAGAAGAAAAAAGGCTGTTATATCCCTGGGGTCCTGCCTGTATGCTCGAAGCTTTAAGTGCTCGAGCAGCTCACACAAATGAGGACCAGGAAGCAAATCCGACACCAGCCATTTTTCAGCCATCTAGGGAAAACTGGCACGCAGCGGTTCTGGAACCTCCAGCTCCTAATGGTTCGTACAATGAACTGGGGCCCCAGAAACGCAGGAAGGCAGCAGGATCCCCAGCCTCTGCCCTCGTCTCCGTGCCCCCAGCTCCCAAGAATCCAGTGGTGTGGGCTGTAACTACCAGCACTGCCGGGGAAAAGCACTGGCTGCCAAGGCTGAGGGTGCGAGGAGGGACCATCAGAAGGCAACGACAATGGGCAACGACCACCTGCCACCCGTTGAGTGACCAGGCTGAGTCCACTTCCTCTGAATGATCAACCACTCACCTCTCTTCCCAGAGAGGTGCCTCTTGTCGCCACCAGTCACGGTCATCCTCATCAACTGAGGAGGACTACCTTAGCAGTTACACTCAAGAAACACTATCATATGATCGAGCAATCCCTCTTCTGGGTATACACCTAAAGGAAATGAAATCAGGAGCTCAAAGAGATATCCGTGCCCCCTTGTTCACTGCAGCATTAGTCACAACAGCCAAGATGTGGAAACAACCTATGTGTCAATGGATGAGTAGGCAAAGAAATTGTGGAATCCACATGAACGAAATATTATTCAGCTTTAAAAAAAGAGGCCCTATCATTTGTAACAACATGGATGAACCTGGACAACATTATACTATATGAAATAAGCCAAAAAGAGAAAGAACAAAAACTGCATAATTTCACTGATACATGGAATCTTAAAAAGCCAAATGCAGGCACACCTGGGTGGCTCAGTTGGTTGAGCATCCGACATCAGCTCAGATCATGATCTCACAGTTTGTGAGCCTGACCCCACATGAGGCTTGCCACTGTCAGCAAAGAGCCTGCTTCAGATCTTCTGTTCCCCCCTCTCTCTCTCTGTCCTTCTCCAGCTCACAGTCTCACTCTCAAAAATAAAAAACATTGGGGCGCCTGGGCGGCTCGGTCAATTAAGCCTCCAACTTCAGCCCAGGTCATGATGTCACAGTTCGTGGGTTCGAGCCCCTTGTCGGGCTCTGTGCTGATAGCTAGCTCAGAGCCTGGAGCCTGTTTTGGATTCTATCTCTCCCTCTCTCTCTGACCCTTTGCTGCTCACCCTGTCTCTCTCTCTCTCAGAAATAAATAAAACATTAAAAATTTTTTAAAATAAAAAACATTAAAAAAAATTTTAAGTCAAATATATCAAAGCAGACAGAAGGGCGGTTACCAGGAACAGAAAGGTGGAGGAAATGGGGAGATGTTGGTTGCAGGGTACAAAGTTGCAGTCACGTAGAATGAATAAGTCTAAAGAGTAATTAATGTGCGGCATAATGACTATAGTTAATAATATTGAACCTTGGAAATTTACTAAGAGAGATTACAGGTGCTTTTATCTCTAGAAAAGGTAAGTAGCCTGACTGGAGTAATCATTTTGCTATGTATTTGTCTATCAAAACATCACGTTGTACACCTTGAACATTTGAACACTGAATTTTTATTAAAAAATTAAAAAATTTCAAAGTTAGACCAAAAAAGAAAAGAAAAGGAAAGAAAAGAAACCCCAACCAGGAGAAATCTTCTGAGCCCCCTCTTCTGCTGCCAGTACAGGGGACCACCTACCTGAGGGGCCTCCTAACTACCAGCCACCCAGTAACCATACCTACCAGCCCACTCATATTACTGAGTGACCACCTGATGTTCACGTCAGGCCCTTCTACCCCAGCACCATTGCTGAGTATGTGTGTGGGAATGTATACGGGCACGTGTACTTTTTTGAGAAAGAATTAGGGTGTTACATTATTTTAAACCTACTGAGCCCTCCCAGGAGAAGGAAAAGGAGAGAAGAACAAGTGAAGCAGCAAGCGAAAACAAAGGCATATAACCCGCAGCAGTGGGTGTCCTAATGCTGCTGTTGTGTCCAGGAGAGCACGATCTCCAGGTCTCCCTGGATGGTCACCCCCGTGGGTATGTGGCGGGGGGGGTATACACCAGGGAGCACAGCAACACGTCCAGTGGAGGAGGCTTTCTATAGGGCCATGCTCTAACCATGGGGGGTGGGGGGGTGAGGAGGGCTAATATCACTTGATTCCACATTCCTGAATCTCTAACAGTAGCCAAGATTCCAGCACCCTGGCCTTGGGATCTTCATAAATTCCAAACACTGTCTAAATAAGACAGGAATGCTTGTTTGGACAGCTTTACAGAAAGGAGGGGAAAGAAGTTTGGGGACGAAATGTTGGTTCAACTCTTTCTCAAGTCGATTAGTAAAAATGAACTCTAACTTTGGGAGGAAGGCACGGAAACTGCAAGAGGAGCTCATTCCACAGGCTGAGGGAGTGGTACCAGTGCCGCCTGACTCCAGATTCTAACATAACAGCCAAGGCATGTACAGAAAAGCTTTTTAAATGGCTCTTTTTGTTTTTTTAAGTGAGCTTCACACCCAGTGCAGAGCCCAATGTGGGGAGTGAACTCAGGACCCTGAGATTAAGACCTGAGCTGAGATCAAGAGTTGGACACTTAACCAACCGAGCCATGGAGGTGTCTCCAGAAAAGCTTTTTAAAATAGGAGGAATGGGTACCAAAGCAGTCACTGTAGTCAGTCTTTTATGAGGGTCTGATCACAGGGTTCATAAACTCTCTATTTTAGGAAATTCTGTAAAGTCTGAAATTTATAGTCAGTGAAACTTCAATAGTTTATAACACATTCATCTCATTACAGTGAAGTACTTTATCATCCTTTATTTCTTATAAATATTTTGAAACCCAGCAGTATGATGTAGTGATATATTTCAGTTGACATTTGTTAGCTTTTAAGTGTTTTAAAAGCTTTAATATCATCACTGATGACTGAAGCTATGATACATCAAGAAATTAACAAAGTCACTGTTCTATTTATACCATGATTAATACCCTCATCCAATAGTGAAACAAACAGAAACAGTTTCTCAGGTGTGACAGACTTTGTTTAACAAAAATTCACTCTTTGTGTAGCAAAGAGAAACAGTAATTTGATCAAGAAAACGTGCCTATGAAGGATAACTATATTCCTTTTTTAACTAAGAGTATATAATTTCTTCCATTCCATATTCTTATAATTTCCATATATGCTTAAAATCAAATATACTGGAGAAAAGAATCCTATCAATTATATATATATACATATATATATATTTTTTTAAGAAGGCCATATTTCAGGAACCAACTCATTCTGACAAGTGGCACATAAAAAGAAAGAACGAAATACCTCTTATCTCTCCCTTATCCCTTATGAGCTGTTTAAAAAAAACCCCATAAAATTGCACATACCTCTAGCCAAAAGAAGTCCAAGAATGCCAGCAAAACCAATAACACCAAGTCTTGGAAAAAATCCAGGAGGTGCATTTTGGAGATATTCATAGCCGTCTACAATAGAATCAGACCAGAAAACAGTTCCATAAATTGCCCATTAAAAAACAAAACACAAAAATCTTACATATAACTAGTATATATAGTATCTCAAAATCATGTGTTCTTTGCTTTATGCTAATATGCTTTTTTCCAACACAATTCTTTTTATGTGATATATAAACGTGATTTGCTATTCACATGGCAAGTACTCAATTTGGATACACTTCTGGTCTGATGACCTATTGACAATAAAGCAATGTTAGATGACCTTCATATCCCAGATGCAACAGATTTGAATCAACTATTCACAAGGGGAGAAATACCAATACAGAGGTTCCATGCTGTCCAAACACAGAAACAGAATAGATCTGGACGCATCGGTCGCTCTTGAAGCTGTGCTTCAAGTTCTCTGAAAGTCAGGGATGGCTCAGGAACTAATGGGTCCTTTGTCATGTGAATTCATTATCTGAACTCAAATACAGAACATATTTGGACAATGCAGGAAACTTGTAGTGCAAGAATATGTGGGAAATAATCAATGGTGAGAGATGAAATGAACACAAATAAATGCAACATGTGAGCCTATCTGTCATGCCTCAACATGCCTTATGGCTTCATTTTAATGATGCTTCCTCTCCTGTCCACTGAGCTGGTCCCACCAAATAAGAGCCATCTGCATTCCTAACCTCCTAAGAAAAGCCCTTCCTGTTAGACTCATCAGCCCACGCCTCTCTCTCCCCTCTGGTGTCCCAGATGGCTGTACCATCATCACTTGGTTCATAATCCGACAGCACCTTGTGTTTAATTATTCAGGGGTGTGTTTTATGTCTCCTCAAGGAGAACATATGCCCTTGAATGATGGATCGCTTAGACTTCTATGTTATTTTCCTTCAGTGCTAATAGTGGATGTTCATCCAACAGATGTTTCCTAAAAGCACTGCTAGGTGTTGTTGGATACTGATTCAATTAACAAATGGGTTTCAGAGAAGTTGTAACTTAAAAAGGCTTCACATCTCCTTCTCAACCCCATCTATAGCATTCCCTATCTGCTTCCAGTTTCTGGCACATGAAACACTGAGTCACTCATCCAAGCCTTGATTACGCTGTGCCCTCTGTGCAGAATGCTACCCAAGTTCCACCCGAACATCATGGTGTGGCTGATTCTATTCTGAGATTCATCTCACAAGTCCTTCCCTAGTCTCTTTCCCCTGCCCCTTCAACAGTACTCTGTGACTGTGTCTGTATTTGTGCTAGTGTTGAACGATTTATAATATGCATCTCAGTGGTGGTGACCACTGTTTTAATTGGCTGTGATCTTCAATGCCTGCTGTGATGGTGACTTAACAAATGTACAGGGAACTGAACTAACCAGAACACTCAGTAATTTTCTCCCCCGGAAAAGAGCAGATACATGCCAGTTTTCCATTTCCTAGGCTGTTTGGGAAATGCAGTGACCATTTTAAATACTACTCTACAGCTTGTGCTGTTTGCATGGATTCCTGTCTGGCCTTTTACTTATTTTGCCTTTAATCTAGTTTTCACTTTCCATCTTTTTGTCTGAGTCATCTGAAGCAATGTTCTACTTCCTTTTTTTTTTTTTTTTGGCCTACCAGCACAGTGTTTTCAATTTGAGATGTACACACAGAGCGGTTGATAAGAGGGCACCCAGAAGGCCGTGGTGAGATGAGCTGCAGTGAGTAAATCACAAAGAAATGGGAGAGGAGATAAGCTAAGAGACTGTAAAGAAGCCACAGCCCAGCTTCTGGTAACACGTCTTGGCTGTGACTCCCAGGAAATGGACAGATCACCTTGGCAGACGACAACACAACTCATAATGGGATGTTTCTTCTGAAGGGTTTTCGCAGTAACCGGTCCAAGAGAAGGAATATGAGACTTATACTGCCAATGACACCTACTGCTAGGAGTCACTGGGAAGTGACAGCTAACAATGGAAAGACCTCCTGAGTCACACATATACTGATAAGAGAGCAGGAGTTCTTTAGTTTATTCAGATTAAAAATGAAGATAAGAAAAGTACCCAACTGTCAGGGTTATGGGGATTATACATCAATTAATATTTTGAAGCACTTAGACTAGTTCCTGGCATATAATAAAAACTAGGTGTTTATAAAATTAATAAAATTAAGATGTCACTCAGACATGATATTACTCATGGTTGTCAGCAATCACGTAGCAGCCCATCAACACCCTCTGATGATCTTCACAAGGAAATAAACCGTATTCATGTTTGTTTTATTCAGTCATGGAAACAAACACTTATAAAAACATAAGTTTTTCTTTGCTGAGATGCCCAGGAAGGGGAATGAAATAGAATCAATGTCTATTAATTTACCGGTTTCTGATGGACACGAGTCAGAATATAGACTGTGAAGCGAGTTTATGAGTGTATAGCATAAGCAAATGTGAAAAACAATCAAGGACAATAAAAACTCAAGGAAAAATATAAAAACAGTACTCATGCAATAAGGCCTTCCCCAGCCACACCAGTTCGGTTCCTTCTTGCCTCTAAACTTCTGGAACATGTACTAACAGCCATACACATGAGCTATCCTGATTCTGAAAACCTACTGATGAGTCAGAGTGGGTTAGTGTGAGTTAGGGACTGTGCACTAGGAAACAGATGTAAAGAGAAAATAAAATCCAGTGTATCTGAACTTGGTAGCCCAAAAATCCTTGAAGAGATCTTGAAGAGACTTTCCAAATGTTTAGGGAAACTTGTTCTCCGAAATCTGATGAAAACAATAGATCTTCTTTCTAGAAAAATCTACATAGCTCTAATATTCTGCATACAACATTAAGGAATTCCCAGATCTCTTGGAGCCAATCCACGGAATCCCAGTTAAAAAGTCCAATGCTAATGAAGAAAATGATTATGCCTAATTAAATATCAACTTACCTAACCCCCATTGAACCAAGCTCTGCATCTTGGGTTTAGATTGTGAGTACATTTCCTAAAGAGGTGAAAAGAAAATGTATGAGAAGGATATACTGATTAAAAAGTAACAACAAATATAATCATCTTTACTGAATAAATTCTCATGTTAATAACACCTTTTTTTACAAGAAACCCTTTCTTTTTTTAAAAAAAAAAAAGTTTATTTATTTTGAGAGAGAAAGAGAGAGTGAGCACAAGTAGGGGAGGAACAGAGAGAGAGGGTGAGAGAGAGAATCCCAAGCATACTCTGCACTGTCAGCACAGAGCCTGATGTGGGGCTTGAACCTGCAAACTGCAAGATCGTGATCTGGGCTGAAATCAAGAGTCAGTCTTATCTGACTGAGCCACCCTGGCGCTTCAGTAACACTTTTTGAACATAGGGAAATAGTGTCTGTCTGGGTATTTTTCTGTTCTTTTTTTCTTGTGTAATTTCCCCTTCACCACAAATTACTCAGGAGAAAATGTGTTATTGCCACAGGAAGGAGATTTCCTGTAGAGTGATTTAAACAAACCCAGCCTTTTTATTCTTCTATTACACTCAGAGAGAATGGGCAAAAATCAACCCTCTTGGTAATTAAAGCAGCAATTTTTCCCTGTGGGATTAAAGTTGTCCTTCATATTTCCTGATAAGCCATGATTTTAGAGTCTGTATCTGAAAACTGACCATCAGAAGCAGGAATGCCCATTTTGAATGGGACAAAGGAGTCTATATCCAAGTTTTGAGAGACACTTACCCCAATCCTGAAGCAAATGAAGTATTAACATTTTCTTAACAACAACAACAACAACAACAAAATGGCTTTGTACGTGAACATCATATATCCTAAAGAAAACAAGGACTTAGCTAGAAGATACCTCACCTTCAAGAAGTCTACAATAAAGATAGGAAAAGAGACACAGGGGTAGCAGAAGGTATCAGAACCAGCTGTCACCTGGAAAAGGTTGTGTTTTATTTACTTTGGCCCAAGTCAGAACAAGGTAGCCTAACACTATGAATGTCCTTAAAGAGTAAGTGATGCACCGCTGAATTCTACTCCTGAAACCAATATTGCACTGCATGTTCACTAACTGGAATTTAAATAAAAATCTGAAGAAAAATAAATAAAATATACTTACAGATTATTAGGAAATAACAAAAAACAATAAATACTGAATTTAGAGGAGGATATAAAGAACATTAAATAATCAATACTGCTTCATTAAAATCCATTATTGGTATTTTATGCCCATAAGAGAAAAGAAAAGCTACAGATAAATATCCAGAGGGATGACCTATTTCTTTTGCTCGAATAATCTTGTCACCATAAAGGAAAATTAAATTAGCTCTTAAATAAAGGGGCTAGAAATTGTTGGCCTGAAAAAGGAGTCAGGAATTAGAAATATTTCTATTGAAAAAGGTTTCATTCTGTAGGAAAATAAAGCCACTGTAATCACAAAACAGCCTTTTTATTTAGAAGTCATACAAACATGTTGATGACTATTCTATCATTCAGAGAGGTATTTTGCTGCACTGAGCATCATGCACACATGAAAAAGTAAAAAACAAAAAGCAATCTTGGGTTGAAAGGTTAAGAGACAAAGTACTTTTATACCCCCCCCCCAAAAAAAACATGAAGAGTAGTCATGCCTACACGATACAAAAATATTTGCACAAATTTGCGGACCTTATCTTAACCAGCAGATGGCTTAAAAATCTTCTAGAACAAGAGAATAAAGTCTAAGCTCTTTATAACACGTTATGTAAAAGTCTTTAGATATTCATAACTCAATAATACGGTTATGATACTTAAGTATACTGGCTTAATTTATATTGGTGATACAGGCTATGCTTACTATTTTCTTCTAAATTGGTGAAAAGAAGTTCAGCACTAGCACAGAGTGGAATTAAAAATTTTTAAACAAGTTCTGGATGAAATCCAGTTTGTAAATCTCAAACAAAGTAAACCTAGACCATGTCACATACATCTACAGACTTTTTACTAATCTGTTATCAATTTTTGAAATCCAGATCCCATATGACAAATACTTTATGTGTGAAAGCCCACACAAGCGTTCTGTAGATTGTAAACTTCCGTTTCAGATGTTAAAAACTGCGAAAGTGCCTCCGTGAACATAGTAACAAGGGCCTGATCTAAAACCTGAGCAGTTACGGAAGCCAATCTATATATGTAGCTCTTTGGTGGCTGGGGCAAACAGTTCAGTACTCAAATATGTAACCCCACACATTTTTGGTTATCCATACTCCGATTATAGTATTCAAAATGTTCTGTAGCCATTCCTGTTAAAATGGTACTGATTTGTAGAATCTCTGGGGGGAGAAAAACTTTCCAATTCGGATATAAATGTTGACACTATATCCTTTTCCTTCTACTAGGGTTCTGGCTCCAAATCCCCCTGAGAGATGGCACTGGTGAATGCTGTAAGTCAGGCATCCTAAGTGAGAGTCCTCCATCGCGCCTTTTTCTTAAAACACACAGACAATATAGACTTTTCACTACTGACTCTAAACAGAAATATGTCACTCCACTTTCAGAACAGCTGTACCTGACACCAACTTGTGTATGGCTCGCAGTAATGTCGGATATGTGAGATGCTTTCTTCAAGTTGGGTCCTTGGCTCCTCCACGTATTTAGATGGACTCTCGGGAACAGAGTAGAGTGAAAGCTGCACATATTAAAAAACAAACCAAGTAGAAACAAAAAGGTATAGACAGCCATGAGATAAGGTAAGCAATCAGCAAATTGGTAAGCATTATATTCCTTTTTTTTTTTTAATTTTCTTAAGTTTTTTTTTTTTTTTTTTTTTGAGAAAGAAAGAGAAAAAGAATGAGCACAAGCACAGTAGAGACAGAGAGGGAGGAAGAGAGAATCTCATGCAGGCTCTTCACTGTCAGCACAGAGCCCAGTGTGGGGCTTGAACCCACAAACTATGAGATCATGACCTGAGCTGAAATCAGGAGTCAGACACTTAACCAACTGAGCCACCCAGGCGCCCTGGTAAGCATGATATTTCTAATAATTCACAGACCGCAGTGACTCTAAGGGTTACGTGCACCCTGAACCTTACTTCAGGGGGTCTTTGCACTTATGAGTAAGGACAAGGCCAAGAAGACAGGACTATGAGGTATCCCTACCCTCCTCCCATTCTAGCGGTTAGCAGACAAAGCAACCCCCTTCATCCATTTCATGTACCAGAATTTGGGATTTCACCTTTTAGTTGGAAAAATGATTCTATTACTCTAACATGGGGGGGGGCTTAAAACTTGAGTTCAGGGCCACCTGGGTGGCTTAGTCGGTTAAGCGTCCGACTTTCGCTTAGGTCATGATCTCGCGGTTCGTGGGTTCGAGCCCCGCGTCGGGCTCTGTGCTGACTGCCAGCTCAGAGCCTGGAGCCTATTTTGGAGTCTGTGTCTCCCTTTCTCTCTGACCCTCCCCTGCTCAAGCTGTCTCTCTCTCTCTCTCTTTTAGAAATAAAAAAAAATAAAAAATAAAAAATAAAAAAATAAATAAAACTTGAGTTCAAAGGATCAGTCTGGTGCTAATCCAAGCAGGACAGTAAGTTTCTTCTCCACCCAGAAAAGAAACTGCACAGTCACTAATGGCTGCCTTCTTCACCCTCAAACAATGCCAATGTCGCCCATGTCCCAAGGTCTGAGAAGAGTGTAAAGGGCAAAAGATAAACTAATTAGCTTTAGGTAAAAACCATTCAAGTAATGTGGCACGTGACTAGAGGTACACCTTATGTACCTCTACACTAAGTCAGCAGAAACCAAATACCCAAAATAATCAGCAGGAAATAAAGACAGAAAAGAATGTAAAAAAACGGAGAGATTTCTTGTTTTGTTTATTTCATATTTATTAAGCACTTACTTATGAGCCTCCAATCTCACCAAGAAGAAGAATGAACCCAGGTCTTTAGTTTCTTAGAAAGGGAGCAATGCAAACGTTCCCTTGGCTTGCAAAGCAGTCTAGGATGAGGCAGATCACTGAGAGCTGAGCCATGCTTACCATCTACTGGGACATACCAGACTCCCCACAAAAACATTTAGGAAATATTCTTTACTTTTGCCCTTAGCTAAGTATCATTAATTAAAGTTTGTTTTTTGAAAAAGCCATACTTTAGTAGCTTCCCATGAAAAAAAGCTATAAGGAAATATATTTCCTCCTTTTAAGTGTCCTCTGAACTGTCATATCTCCTGACAGACCATTTGTCTACTTTTGTATACTTCCATAGTAACTAAAGCAGATGCTCAAAATCTATCACGGCATCCATGGCGTGTTACCTCATTAACCTTCATGGAAGTTTTGTGAGGTGTATCCTTTTTAGGTGATGCATAGACTTTGAAGGTGAGCAGACTCAGGCTGGCCGGCCCCACGGACCTCTGAATCACCTGAAACACAGAAGCAGTCTTAAGCCTTCTATCAATGCAACAAACTGAACATGCAAAACATGAGCATTCTTGTAACCTCAGCGATGTCTTCTTTTTTTTTTTCTGGAACCTCAGCAACTTCTGTCCCTGGAAGGCTTATTGCGCTTTAGGAGAAATAGACGTATTCCTAAAGGTTTATGGAAGTCAGAAACTAAAAATGTATACTCACAGACTTCAAATTTCAGGTGACCTTACTTTAAGTTCCAAGACAATAGTTCCTAAGTTTTTCTACTTAGCCTGTCGGGTAAAATAAAAGATACACAGCCTGTCGAGTAAGATACACACACACACACACACACACACACACACACACACACACACATGCACTTATAAAAATAACAGAGAAATGCTATGGAATGAATTTAAAATTATAAAATAGTCTCTCTCTATTTCTCTGACACACACATGTCCCCCACCAACAACAATGGAAGAGGTTTCTAGATTTTTTTTATTTTAGAGAGGGAGAGAGAGCTCAAGCTGGGGGAGAGGGGCAGAGGGAGAAGGAGACAGAATTCCAAGCAGGTTCCACATTCTGCACAGAGCCGGACATGCGGCTCGATCCCATGACCCTGGGGTCACGACCTGAACCAAAATGAAGAGCAGGAGCTCAACTGACTGAGCTACCCAGGCATCCCAACAATGGAAGAGGTTTCTAAGGATCTTACCTAGCGATTCACTGAACACAGCAAAGATTATTTCTGGAATTCTAATAATTAAATGTTCACAAGCGTTCCCTTTCCATTCCCATTAGATTCTCCCCTGATCTCAGTACCCTAATGCAGTATCTTTTTGTGCCTTGCTCTCCCTCACTGGGCCGCTCATACCCAGGGCTTCAATACGAAGCCAGGGACTCCTAGATCTGCAGCCCCAGCCCGGAGCTCCCTCCCGAGCTCCCAACTCACTTATCTGATTACTCTTAGACATTTCTACTTCTTCACAAGCAGGTCCAAAGTGGACACATCAAGATCTTGTCTGTACCTCCAACTCCACACTTGGCCTGACAGGTGGGTAGGTGCTGTGGAATCAAGTCAGAAGGCTTTTCCCCCTCAATAATAACCCCGTACATTTACACAGCACTTGACTATCTAGCATCTGTACCCCAGACTTGCCCCCATCTTCTTCTACCTCCTCTCAGGCATGGTGTCACCATCTAACCAGACAACCCTATTGGAAACTGTGAGGTCATCTTCACCACCACCAGCCCATCCTATTGGTCATTAAGTCCTGTTAATTCTGACTATGAAATGATCTCAATTCACTCTCCACTTTATCCCCTCCGCTACAATCTTCCCTTGGGCTCTCATTTTTTTCTTGGATGGTGTTAGCTGCATTGTAACTGCTCACCTGGCTCTCCGATGACTCAAACCACCACAATGCAAAAGAATGATCTTTCTAAACTACAAACTGATTATCTTCTACTCTTATTTGAGATCCTTTGTTATTTATTATCTAGGACTCTGATGGGGCCAAACCAGGCCCATTATGATCAGACTCAAACGACCTTCTCTGACCCCATCTCTCTGCACTCTGCCTTCCCCCTCAGCATACGAACTCCGCAGCATACGAAGCCGTTGCCCAGCTCCCTGGGTTTAAACGAGCTGGTTGCTCTGCTTGGAACGTCTCATATTTGCTTTGTTTTTCTGTGCAACTGCCTAATAGCAGGGAGATACACTGCTTTTTTCTTTTCTTTCCTTATGTACCCATTTATTTATGTCTATCAAGTTCTCCCTACTAGACTGGAAACCCTTTCAATGCGGTGCCATGTCTTGCTGTCTCCCTACTGCCCATGACTGTGCCTAGGACAGAAGAAATGCTCAGTAACTGGCTACTGCCTCTATGAATAGATGGAAGAGAGGTGGGAAAATGAGTAGTTGACTTATTCTAACTACACAGGCATGATTCAGCCACACAGAAATCCTAATGCTGAGATTTGCAGCACCTGCAATGTGAAAGACTAGGCTATTCCATAATATTCACAAAACACATAACGCTAAATAAAACATAACAAAAATGTCTATTGAAATGTATGCCTGGAGTTATACACAAAAAGGGAAAGTCTCACTTTTCAGAAGCAAATAAAGAGCTAGACACTATTTAAAAGAGCAATTATGGGGTGACTGAGCAGCTCAATTAGCTAAGCACCCTACTCTTGATTTCAGCTCAGGTAGTGATCCCAGAGTGGTGGGATCGAGCCCTGCGTCAGGCTTCACGCTTAGCGTGAAGCCTGCTTAAGATTCGTTCTCTTTCCCTCTGCCCCCTCCCCTGCTCGCACTCTCTAAAATGAAATTTAAAAATTTTTTTAAAAAGAATGGTTATGACTTTAACTGTTTTAAAAAATAGTTAATATACCCTGAGGTAGTTAAGTTTTCACCTTGAAAGGACTTAATTTCAAGGCAATACTGCCACACATTTCTTTTGCTTCCAGGGGAAAAGTCAGTGTGGTTGCTCCCGGCACCCTTGGAGAAGGCCTGTGAGGCTGCTGGTATCGGGAGGTGCCAACTCAGTGCTCTCTGCCCCCTGGGTCTGTCCAGGACCTACTGACAACACTGCTCTGAACTGGGGACTTTCCACTGAGCCAGCGAGCCCCACCCTGGACTTTGATTCCCTTCCTTATCGGCAAGAGCTGGTGCCTCGCCCTTTCCCCCTGCCCATCCGGCACTGGGGCCTCCAAGCCCAGTATGGGGCTTCATACTGTCCTCTACCTTCATCCTTGTTCGATATAATTCCTCATGTGGACCTTTTTAATTCTAAATTCTGCCTTTTAGTCCTTAATCCTACCTACTTCTCACATATTTCACTTTTCACCTCATGGCCTTCTGTTGTTTTAATTCAGGTCTCCACCTTTAAGTTCTTAGTGATTATGATCACTCCCTTTCACCTTTTCAATCTCTGCGCGTTTACTTTTTAAATTTAACATTTGATTAGACTCTCGCTTACTCTGACTTTCTTTCTTTTTCCCTCTCATCTGCTTTTCCACTTTTTAATGTTAAGCAAAGACTGGCCCTTTATTGCTCAAGTTGTTTTCTTCCTCTTCTCCCATCAGTCTTCCGCCCCCTCCAAAGCCATCCTCATCCCCATCCCACGGCAAGAACTGAGGACACAAGGGCAGAGCACCCAAGAAAGGCCTCTCCAGCAGCTGCTCTTTCAGCTTCCCGAAGGCTCTCAACAAATAAAACAAAGAAAAAAAAAACTCACCCCAGGAAACTTGGGAGAGCTACAGATTAACACTCCCTAGGGCCACAATTCTCTTAGCAGAGAGCACATGATTTACTTTAGGGTTTCTCAATCTCAGCATTATTAACACTGGGGGCTGGATCATTCTTTGATGTGAGAACTGTCCTGGGCACTAGAGGCTTCTCAACATCCCTGGCCTCTACCTACTGGATACCAATAGCACCCCTCCCAGTTGTGACTCAAAAATGTCACCAGACACTGCCAAGGCTCCTGGGGGGAATCCCACCTAACCCCCGGCCACCTGCCACACTGAGAAGCACTGATTTGCCGGAAATAAATATTATTTTCTGACATCTCTCACCATCCAGACTTCAAAAAAATACGTGGGTTTTATTTTTTTAACACTTATTTATTTTTGAGAGACAGAGAGAGAGCTAGAGCATGAGTGAGGGAGGAGCAGAGGGAGAGGGAAACAGAGAGTCTGAAGCAGGCTCCAGGCTCTGAGCTGTCAGCACAGAACCCTATGCGGGGCTCGAACCTACAAACCGTGAGATCATGACCTGAGCTGAAGTTAGATGCTTAACAGACTGGGACATCTAGGTACCCCAAATACATGTGTTTTAAAAATCCAAGGCCTCAGGGGCATGTGCGTGGCTCAGTCAGGTAAGCACCCGACTTCGGCTCAGATTGTGATCTCAAGGTTCGTGATTTGAGCCCCCATCAGGCAGTGTGCTGTCAGCTCAGAGTCTGGAGCCTGCTTGGGATTCGGTGTCTCCCACTCTGTCTGCCCTCCTCTGCTCATGCTCTCTCAAAAATAAATAAACATTAAAAAAAATTTAAGCCAGGGACTCAGATTTAACATACAGTGATAGAAATCAGAATAGTCTTGCCTGGGAGGTGAAGCATGGGGAGGGGATGGACTTACTGAGAAGAGGTACAAGGGAATGTTCTGGGATACGAGATCTGATCCATACCTTGACCGGGGTATGGGTCGCAGAAGGTATATATACATTTGTTAAAACTCAAATTATTATAAGACCTATACAACTTAATATCTGTGCATCTCACTATACACAAACTATATCTCAAAATATCCATGAGCACCTAAACCACACCACGTTTGTGCCAAAATACGAGTGGGAACTTCAGGCCCGGGGTGATCCCTCAGGAATCTGACTACGGTTAAGGAACCAGGTGCTAGTAACCTTTGTGACGGGAACCCAGAGAAGGGGCCTCGATAATAGGTCCACAGGCGGACGAGACTGATGCTCCTCTTAGTGAGAGACGACCCCGTCCTGCCTCAGCCAGACCTGATATCACCACAAAGGAGGGTCCTGGAGGCAGGGCCCTGCCCGGTGGCGATCGTAACTTGGTAGAGCTCACCTTGAGTATTCTGGCCAAACCACTTGATATCAGAATTTAAGAAGGGAAAGGCTGTTTAAACGGGCAGAGACCACTCCAGGAAAATATAAGAGCAAAAGAGGAGTCAAAGAAGAACCTTCTTCAATCTTGAGTCTCCTCCTCAAGAGAAAAAAGAACACCAATCTGGAAGTTAGGTGTCTTTTGGAAAAAGGTTTAATCAACTTCCAGGGTCTGGGTCATCATCACTAAAGCTCTGGCTTTATCACCTTTTCTCCCACAGACACTACTGCTGGGTTGCCTTGTGTGAGACTGCAACACAAAGGCATTCTCTCTCCATGAGGGGTCTGGACCCATTATGGTACAGCCAGCCTGAAAATACCTCCTGGGAAGTGAGATTTCCCATGTATCTTTTTTGATAGAAGCTG